CTCAAGCAAATCAATTCCACCTTTATTTGTTTGATTCCTAAAGTGGATGCACCTAGGGTGATGAAAGACTGATGAAAGACTTTCGACCTAAAGGGTTGTGTAATGTCTTATACAAAATCATCAGCAAAATAATTTCTAACCACCTATGAGTAGTTCTTGCTGATTTTATTGACCCTAGGCTGGCTGCATTTTTGAAAGGTAGGCTTATCACAGATAATATTGTCATGGCAAACAAACTTATGTCTCTTTAGCATAGGAACTCAGATCGGACTAAAATGTGTCTGCAAATCGATTTGAGCAATACATATGACAGTATCCTAGGATTTTATAGTGGGTAGGATGCATGCTTTGGGTTTTCCAGAGTTATTTGTTTCTTGGGTTCACATGTGTATTCCACTACTTCTTTCTCTGTCCCGAGGAATGACTCACCTAAAGGTTTTTTTAAAGGTAAGAGAGGTTTGAGGCAAGGGGATCCTCTATCTCCTAATCTTTTTTTGCTGGTCATGGATCGTTTTAGCAAATAGCTTGATTGTATTATGTTGCAAGGCATGGTTCCCAGGGCATTTCCTTCAGGGTGTGACTATGGGGCCTCTCATCTCTTTTATGCTGATAATGGGCTTATTTTCTATGAGGCATCCATCTCTATTGCCACAGCTATGCGTGAACTTATTCATAAGTTTGAGAGGAGTACTGGTCAGATTCTGAACTCATCTAAAAGCAAGGTCTTTTTCTTTGGTGCACCACGGGGAGGACGAGCGAGAATTCTGAGGGAGTTAAAGTTTGTTGAAGGGTCTCTTCCTGTCTGCTATTTGGGCCTACCATTATGTCGTGGACATCTGAGGCACAATTATTGTCATAGTCTGGTGGGTAAGGTGTTCAATAAGATTGGGTCTTGGCGGCCTTTATGCCTCTCATATACCGGTCGACTTCAGTTGCTTAAGTCTGTACTGGGGGCGTCATCGGTTTTCTGGTTATTATCCTTCATTCTTCCGAAGAAAACATGTAATATGATAGAGAGACTACGGAGAAACTTCTTATGGGTTGGGGAAGAAGAAAAAAAAAGTGTTCATCTTATAAAATAGAAAACGGTGTGCCTCCCTATGGCTGAAGGAGATCTTGGGGTAAGAGATATGGCGGATTTCAATATCACAGGAATGATGAAGTTAGCATGGCGGATTTTGGAAACTCCATCCTCGTTGTTGACACGGTTCTTCAAACATCGATATTTTAGAAATTCCTTTATTTGGGAGGCTAAAGGCAGAAGAGGATGTTCTCATGCATGGAAGGGGATTTTACTTGGCTTATTTCATTTGAGAGGCAATGTACAGTGGAATATTGGTAATGGTTAGATGGTGGATTGCTGGATGGACCCATGGTTAGCAGGTCAGCCACTTTCAGATCTCCACGATGATAACATTAAGGAATATTTGGGGGCTGCTGTAGGGAGGAGGGTTTCAGAGTTTACCAGAGGAGTTCCTCAAGCTTGGTTTCTGTCGCATCTGATTCTTTGAGGAATATATGGAGAGAAATTGAGAATTATACTCTTCCTCTACAGCCCAAGAAGGATTCACTGATCTGGATTCATTCTGCTGATGGATCATTCTCTATTAAAAGGGCATGGGATTTTATTAGGCATCAAGGTTCATCACAGCCTATCGTTCCTGCACTTTGGTCCTCCAAATGCCACCCAAGGGCGAAATGGTTTTCATGGCTGGCCTTGCATAATCGATTACCCACTTCATTCTTACTACAGCAACGAGGCATGCAACTGGACTCTTTCTGTCCCTTTTGTAGTAACCATGATGACAATCTTTATCTATTATTCCAATGTGCCTTTGCGGAGGGTGTATGGAGATCACGCGCTTGGAGATGTGGAAAAAAGTGTCCTTCGTACCTCTATCCTTGATTTACTTAGGTGATGGTTACTTTTCAGGTTTAAATCACATGGACTTCGTAATATTTGGTCTTCCATCTTTTTTACTGCTATTTGGTTTCTATGGGAAGAGCGCAACAGAAGAGTTTTTGAGTCAAGACCCACTAGGAGAGAGCATATTGTGAAAGAATTACCCTGCATGTTCAGGCACTAGCAAAAATTAAGAAGTGGTTTTTTCATTTATCATAAAAGGCCATCATTGGTAACCTTCGGATAACTTGGCAGCAACAGAGGGCTAGCCCTTTACTTTGGTAGCGTGGTCTTTTCCTGAGACTCATGACTCTATTGATGGTGCTTCTTTGAGAAATCCAGGTCTAGATGCGGGTGGTTTTATTGCTGCTTTTGTAGAGCATTTTGGTTTTGCTTTTAATAATCATGCAAAATTCTTGGCATTTGAGGAAGGAGTTCAATTGGTTATTCAAAGTAGTTGCTTTCCAATCGAGATTGAAAGTGACTCGGCCTTGCTTGTGAATGTCAGTCAGAATCGATGCAATGCTCCATGGAGACTAAAGACGATTGCAAACAATTGTTGCACCAGACTGTCGTAGCATCGATGGTCCGTCACACATGTCTTTCGTGAGGCTAATATGGTTGCTGATGCCCTAGTTAAGAGGGCAGCTATTGGCCCCGGTGCTACTGTGTGGCGCCATAGACCATCAGATTTCTTTCATCTCTTTTCTTACATGATCTGACGCAAGTGCCCTACCATAAGGTTGTATCTTAATTGTTTTTCTCTGCTTTTTTATTAATGAAAATTTGGTAGGGGGTCTTCTCCCCCACTGACTTATCAAAAAAAAAAGAAAGTTAGATTCATTAGCAGTGTATCAAAAAGTGCTAGGCAGGTCCTAGGCAGCCCAGTTGAAAAAAAAGAAAAATCTCAATATGCCATATTTCAACAATCCAACTTGAAAAAAAAAATAAAAAAAATAAAAAATACAAGTGATATAAAAGTCCATATTGTTAAAGCAGTAAACTGTAAAATCATACAAGTGATATAAAAGTCAACACCCAACATAAAAAAATATACAGAAATTTAGAAAATATACAGCCTAACAAAAGTCAACATTCATGACTCAACACAAGTTACACAACAGTCAACAGACTCAACACTCAACACACAACACCAAGAGGCAAGAGTCTTCAATCATCATCTTCATCATCATCATCAAAAGGAATATCAATAACAAGCCTCATCATATGCATCAGAGTCGAGGCCGTCATCATCAGAGTTATCTCCCTCTTCAATATGACGCTCATCCTCCACTGTTTCTTCTGAATCTGCCTCTTCCTCTTCCTCTTCCTCTTCTACCTTCCTCTTACTAGTATGTGTAGTCTGTGCAGATGAGGCACTAGGAGTCTTGGCTGCTGTACCCTTCTTTTTGTGCTTCTCTGAACTCAAATATTGTATAATTTTATCCTTGGTAGCCTCAAGAACTTTTTTACACAGGGCAACCGGCAAGGTGTTTTTTAAACCTGTAAATGCCCCTATTAGTATCATTTCTACATACATTTAATACGATTTTTATCACTTGGATTCGGGATATAACCATACTTCCAACCTGGATCACCACTTCGACGACTAGAAGCTGGAGAAGATACTTCCATAGAACAAGGCTTATTTTCATCCTTTTTTGGTTCTTCAAAATTCAAAAGATGTCTAATCTCATCTCAAACTGCTTTAGGAACCTTTGTACAAGAAGCAATTTTACCTCTAACACCAGCAAGGTGTTTTTTGAATCGGCTCCTACCATTGGTATCTTTTTCACAAAAATTACACCTTGTACAATTTTTATCATTTGGTTTTGGGTTATATCTATGCTTTCAACCCGGATCATTTTTTCTAGGAGTAGCAGAAATAGATCTATGATAAGGATTTTGTTCTTGTTTTTGTTTTACATGACTTAAAAATTGCTTAATCTCTTGTCTGACAGCTTTAGGAACATTTTTACAAGGGGCAACATTCCCCTTAATATCGGCAAGATGTTTCTTAAACCGGTTTACGCCACATTTTGTATATTTTTCACAAAAATTGTATCTAATGCAATTTTTGTCATTTGGATTCGGGTTGTATCTATATTTTCAACCTGGATCTCCACTTCGACTAACTCCTGAAGAAAACATTTCAAAATAAAGCAAGCAATCTAAAAAATCAACTTACTTTGGTTGCTTGAACTCCAAACTTTGAGAAACACTTCGACGATTTGATGATCGATCCAATGAAATGTAGTTATTTTGAGGTTTTGTCTTTCTAAAAGGGCTTCTTGTGGATTTAGGGTTCAAATGAACCTAAAAGCCATCATTCTTAACCTTTAAATATTTCAAAATAACAAAACGAAAAAAAAAAAAATTCATTTTTTCTGTCTCTAGGCGGGGCACAAGCCTTGGGCGGCCGCCCAGGGCTGGCTGCTAGATGGCCGCCTAGGTGGGTTTCGTACCGCCCAGGGACTGATCGCCCAGTTTTATCGCCTAGGCGCTGGGCGATCCATTTTTTTGAACAATGTTCATTAGTCATGAAGGGTGTTTGCCCCTAATGTTAGGAGCCATGTGCATATGTGTCTGTCATGCTGAGTTGTCCTAAATGTTTTATGTTTTGGTTCATTGGACTTAAACTAGGCCTACTTGACATGTCTTAAAACTATTCTTGTATTCGTACATTCCTTTCTGCCGTGCTTTAGCCTCCATGAGGAGTCCTCAGTGAAGCTTGCAGGCCATTTTGGATTGTCCTAAAAATGTCCTCTGACAAGCAAGACTATGCAGTTTAAAAATGTAAACTGAAACCAATTGGTTTTGATTATACCACGTTTCTACATGTTACATTGGAATCTAAGGCCGTAAGTCAACATATTTACATTGCAGGATGCGTGGTCCTGAAAATGTTGCTGATTATTTCCTCAATTCTTTCTCTAATTTATCATTGTATCTGCATTCTTTTTGGCCTTTTTTTTTTGGTGTAAATCATTATATGTTATGCATGAGGATTCCATTTTATGCCATTTTCATTCTGGTCAAAACTGCAGCTTTTTGATGGAATGTTTGTTTATCTATGGTGGTGGTGGTGGTTGTGCAGGATCCGAGCAATAGAAACATTGTTAGATGTGATGCCAAGCTGAAGAGTATTTTGTTGGGTAAACGTCTGGTTGAGCTATCTGAGCTTCCAATGCTTATCAAACTTCATTTCCCGAAAGCACCTAAATGAGCGTGTATTTTGTCTTCTCTTGTTGTCACTCGAAGACTATGCGTCGATTCCTAATAGAAATTTTGTGGATTTCTGATTTCTTTTATCTTTCTGGATAAGTCACTTTTTCTTTTATGTATATATAAATTCTTGATAAGTTGCCAAGTGATTATTATCAACTTAAAGATATATAAAGGTGCCGTCATGAACCATGGGGAAAAATAATTGAAAATTGATGTGTTCTCTATTATGACAAAACCCCACGGTGGATGGATTTGTAGCTAAGAATTTGGTGTCAAATCTTGAAGAGTTCAACTTTCTAGCTAGAAGAACAAAATTTGAATGTGGAAGTCACGCCAAATGTGGAAGTCACGCCACTTACTCCTTGCTTGAATGCATTTATAATTGGGAGAAGTATGCAATGAGACCATTTATCTTTGGTATAAGGTGTCGTCACAGTTAATCTTGATCATCGGATGTGAAATTGGTGGCTGCATTTCCATTGACCAAGCTCAAAGTTTAAAAGGAAATTCTAAAAGTGACACATCCAAGTTATTAGATTTTACATCGAGTGGTTATAAGTAATTATATGGTTATAAGTAATTATGATGATTTGGATTATTGAGAAATAAGGGTTACGACATGTTATCATTTTATTTTTACTTATATGAGGGGAAATGAAAATTTCCTTTTTTCAAAAAAGCAGGGGAGAGAGGGTTAAGGCATATGTCATTTTCTTTTTACTTAGATAATACGAAGTGAAATTTACCTTGAAAGGCAGGGTAGAGAATAACATATATTGAGTAGATCCACCCGAAGCCTTGAACCCATATTCATCTACAGGAAAATGCTTATGGTTTCCAGCCATCAAATTTTCAGGAAACTCAACCTGAACCTCCGTGTTCACGAACTGATTTTTTGGTGTAAGAAATCCAAAATAAGAGTGATTGCATGAGAGGGACACTTTCGGGGCTTTCAAGTGCCCAATGATGGCCCTTGTCTTGTAGCTGCAGTATGTTGATGACACTTCGCTCTTTTGTGAAGTTAAGATTGAGCAGGTGGCTAGTGTTGCCAGCTTTTTGAACATTTCGGGCTTAAGGTCAATTACGTGAAGTCGGCTATAGTTGGTATTAACTGTGATGACTCTTTATTGGCCCTAAAAGCAACTACCTTGGGGTGTAAAGTAGAGAACTTCCCTATCTTGTACTTGGGGCTGTCAATTTCAGTTGTGAGGTTACCTATGACTGTTTGGGATAAAGTAATCCAAACAATTCAAGTTAAATTAGATTTATGGAAGTATAAATGCCTCTTTTTTGGAGGTAAGATCACCTTGATAAAAGCTTGTTTCTCGAATTTACCGATCTATCAAATGTCCTTGCTGCAGATTCTTCACAAGGTGGCCAAGAATATTGAAACTATGATGAGAAACTTCTTGTGGGGCTCTTTCGACAATTCTAAAAAATTTCACCTCTTGCGATGGGATAGGTGTGTACCCCTAGGATGGAAAGTGGACTAGGCTTAAGGTGAGTTACTTTGGTTAACCAAGCACTTATGTCTAAGTGGTGGTGGAGAACCTTGGTCCTTAAAGACCAATTGTGGTATGAAGTTGTTACCCCAAAATATGGGATTGATAGATTTAGATGTGGGTAGGAGGTAGAAGTGGTACACATGTGATGTCTTCTCTTTGGAGGCACATTCATTCGTATACGGCGTTGATTCACAAGGATGTCCGGTGGTGCCTAGGTGATGGTTGCAGTATCTCTTTCTGGCACTACAAGTGGGTTGGAGATGTACCTTTGAAACTTCTCTTTCCTGCTGTTTTCGACGTATGGTTAACCCCAATGGTACCGTGGCTGATGTGATTGTACGCAGGGGCTGCGAGGTGAGTTGGGACATTTCTCTCCCCTATAGTAGGATTCCCGATGCTATTTTTCAAGAATTCGTTAGGATGCTTTCCCTTCTCCATGAGGTCTATGTTTCACAAAATGCCTCTGACGCAGTCATTTGGGAGATTCAGTTCGATGGACAGTACTCAGTTAAGTCCATATATAATCTCTTGTTCCATGAGCGATGGAGATGGTTGATGCCTTATATTGCCCCAATTTGGAAATGGCCTTTGCCTTTAAAGGTACAAGCTTTCTTATGGCTTGTAGTGCAAAATAAGGTTATCACTTTTGACAACCTTATCAAGAGAGGTAAGGTGTCTCCTAATGTGTGCTTACTGTATAAACTGGATGCTGAAACAGAGCCACACCTCTTTCTTCATTGCCCTTTCACTTTTAGAATTTGGTGCTGGTTTTTTTGATGAACTTGGTCTTGCCATGATGATGCCCGTTGAAGTTCTTGGGATCATCTCAAATTTGTCGGCTCCCCTGCCCAAGGCTGGCTTGATCTTATGGCAGATGGTGAGAGGCCTAATACTTTGGGAAGTTTGGAAGGAAAAGAACCGTAGGGTATTCGATGGTGTCAACCTACTTTTTGTGAAGGTGTTGGACAATATTCTTCGTGGGCTGTGGCTCTTCTGCTTTGTGTCGAAGGATCAGTCCGATAAGTTGGAAGTTGATTTCAAGAGGAACTTATCAATCCTCTTCCGTCTAGATGTCTTCAAAGTAGGCTGCAGGGTAGATGGGTGACCCCTTTGGAGGGAACTTTTAAACTAAATTTTGATGGAAGTTCTTTTGGAAATCCTGGTCCGATTGGCATTGGAGGTGTTCCAAGAGATTGGAATGGTACGGTGGTGTTTTCTTATGCAAGGCCCTTTGGGGACAAAACGGCCTACTATGCGAAGATGCAAAGCCTTCTTCATGGCTTAAAGATCTTCACTGAAAAGCAATTGGGTCAGCTCTGTATTGTGGAGGGGGATTCACTGAACGTTATTAACTGGTGTAATGTAACTCATAAAACCCCCTGGAAGCTTAGGTCTACCTTGCTGCAAATCTGGGATTTGTCTAGGACTCTCGATACTTCGTTTGTGCATGTTTTTCGTGAGGCAAATGTGCTAGCCGATCATCTTGCAAAAAGTGGACCCTTACGTCCTTTTTAACTTCGGATAGTATAATCTCTTTTTAGCTTCTGATTAATACAAGCACTGAATTTCTCTAAAAAAAAAAAAAAAGAAGTGATTGCATGAGAGAGAGCCTCATGCTACCCATTATGTATATATCATGAAATCCAAGAGCCTATCGTACATGGTGGATTGGAACTGGAAATTTATGGATCAGATTTGACTCCTGCAGTTGCATCACTCTTCCATTGATCATCGAGAGCAATATTCACGCGGCGATTTTAAAATTTTACAAACAGAAGTGTAAACCTTAAATTCACATCTCACTCATACAACTCTCTTCGAAACAATTTATAGTAGAATTAAAGGATCATAAACACCTCATGCCATTCCCATAACCATTTCCATTCACTAAGACAATTCGAGCTTGCATTTAACTCGACACCATATACATACAATTGAAATTCAGCCATACACAAATTTTTTTTAGAATACAATGACTCAATTGCAATCTCAATTATTACAAACACTTTCACAAATATGTGCATGGGAGAACATAAGCCATGGGACGCTAAAACTTAATCAATTTGCTCGGGATTTCCTCCACATTGGGCTTAGTACGCCCCCATATACCAGATTCCAAAACCGATGGTGCAATGATCTAGGCTCTATCACCTCATGAATGTGAGAAGAATTATGAAGTTTAAAAACACATCAAATTCAACTAAATGGGGCTGATATATTCTAGACAGAAAAGAAGGTTCGTTGAGCTTAGAAATCATGCCAATTTTGAGATAAATCAATGGGGCATGGATGGGACTTTGAATGCCATGCTCATGGCTTATAAATATAATGGAAAGAGGGCTCAGAGAGTGATCATGTCTTGCTGTAAATTGAATTTTACAGCAGCATGATGGACCTTAAATGAAGTAGAAAAACTTGAAGAAGAAGCTCATGGATGTTGCTGAAGCAAGGGTTGAAGATGGAGTTTGGAGCTTTCAGCTATGGAGCTAGGAATGAGCTTTCCTCTCTCTACACAAGACGATCACTCGCTTTCTCTATCTTAAAAAAACACAGGCACAATCTTCTAGCTAAAAGCTCACTAGAAGAGGCGGCAATGGCGTGCGACTCTCT